GCCTTGCAATGCCGAAGACAATCTGCGTGCCGGACTCGTCGTCATTGAAGCCTGGTTCAGGGGCTACTGAGGGAGTCCTGGATTAGGGGGGTGTCTGGATAGCCGGACTATACCTTCGGCCGGACTCCTGGACTATGAAGATACACGATTGAAGACTTCGTCCCGTATCCGGAAGGGACTTTTCTTGGCGTGGATGGCAAGCTTGGCGATACGGATATGTAGATCTCCTACCATTGTAACCGACTCTGTGTAACCCTAGCCCTCTCCGGTGTCCATATAAACCGGAGGGTTTTAGTCCGTAGGACGAACAACAATCATACCATAGGCTAGCTTCTAGGGTTTAGCCTCTCTGATCTCGCGGTAGATCTACTCTTGTACTACCCGTATCATCAATATTAATCAAGCAGGACGTAGGGTTTTACCTCCATCAAGAGGGCCCGAACCTGGGTAAAACATTGTGTTCCCTGCCTCCTGTTACCATCCGCCTAGATGCACAGTTCGGGACCCCCTACCCGATATCCGTCGGTTTTGACACCGACAGTGCCCTAGGCGGTTGGTCTCGCCGAAGCTCAATCATTGTGGCGTAAAGCTTCGGGCAAGCTTTGGGAGCCTCCAATTAAGTTGTGGAGATTGCCCCGGGCAATTTGTACGGGCTCGGTGACCGCCCCCAAGGGTTGCCAATTGTACGGGTTCGATGACAGCCCTCAAGGACCTCTTAGTAGAATCACGACATCTTGCATTGTGCGAGGGCGTGAGGAGATTACGGTGGCCCTAGTGGCATTTTAGGGAGCATTATGCATCCACACCTCTCTAACGAGATTAGCATTCGTAAGGGTGTGAACTTCGCGATACATCGTCATCTCCGCGTGCCTCGGTTATCTCTTACCCGAGCCCTTTACTTATGCACCTTACTTTGTAATAGCCATAGTGTTTCATGTTATATATCTTGCTATCACTTAGTTGCTTCTCTTGCTTAGCATAAGTTGTTTGTGCACATAGTTGAGCCTAGTTGATTTAGGTTTGTGCTTCATAAATTAAAGTCTAGTTTTATTTCGCATTTGTTCTAACCTAAACCGCAATTGTTTTAAAGCGCCTATTCACCCCCTCTAGGCGACATCCATGTCTTTTCAGATGGTTTCGCCGTGGGAGTGGAGGGACGTCGCGAGGCTGGTGATCCTCATGGCGAAGTTATCGATCCCTCGCTGCCCCCTGAAGGCGATGGATTCGAACTCCGCTTGCAGCTGTTGTGCTCTCGCCTCGCTCACACAATCGCTGCCGAGACACTAAGTGTCAATCGTGGACCACCCCTCTTTGGCACTCACCTTCTTCGCGAGCATGCTATGCATCTCCGACGGAGTGGAGCAGATCAGCGCCGCACGCACCTGCATGTTCTCCTCCCGCGAGATGTGGTCGTCCTGCATGGCATCCTAGAGGCTCGCCGCCTGCAAGTTGACTTCCATCACAAGTGCTCAGTCGTCCCAGTTCATGCAGGTCAACATCGGGAAGGATTGGTTGCTACCTCTGCCACCGTCAGTCTTACACACCATCTGCTGCGCCATGATCTCATCACCCATGCCGCGTTGTGTCCTACTGCTCTTGTGGCTTGGTGAGCACTGTCGTCTCTTTCTTGAGGTTGTGCGAGGGCTTGGTGAACGCTGTCGCCGCTTCCGCTGCGGTCACCGTGTCTTGGAGTCGTGCGAGTGCTTAGCGAGCACTGTTGCCGCTTTCACTGTGGTGACCGTGTCTTGGAGCCGTGCGAGCCATACTGCTTCCGTTGCCCTTTGCCACTGGACATGGCTGCCGGATCAAGGCTCTGATGCCAATTTTCAGCCAAGCTACTAGCGGGAGAGAGAGCGAGAGGAAAACGATGACTATGAAGATTTTGCGCTGTGTAAAAAGTGTACAAGTTTTCTGTTTCTTCTCTTCTTATTTCTTCATAGAAGGAAATCATGCGCAAAGTCATTTTGCGCGGTTAGGGTACCTACCGGTAGATCTCACACCACCCATTTTTTTGAGATGCGTGTTAGCTATGGCCCACTTAGATGTATAACAGTAGTATAGTTGTTGTATATTTTTCGCGTCAAATCAGTGTTAGTTTGATGGGCCCAAAGGACTTGCTCTTGCCAAGGAAGATGTGCATGCATGTAGCTTTCTTCTCTCTCCATCCCAAACAAATCCCTTGAGTTTATTTCATCTTAGACAATTTAAATCACACATATCTTTTAACCTATAAACTCGTTTTTGAAACTTTTTATATATTTGGACTCTTGGCGTCAAGCCCTTTAGAACTAGACCAATTTTGGATACATTTTTTAACACGTTTGAATTTTTACGTTTTACATTTCATATGTGAAAAAAATTCACTGGAAAAAATGAAGCCAACCAGTTTCACTAGAAATATGTGAAAACAACTTGTTTCACCGAAACATACTTAACCCAAATATGAATCTGAAATGTAAACTTGTGAAACTAATTATTTGAAAATGTGCAGCCTTTTTTCAAAAGAGTAAAACATGTTATTTTAAAAATGTGCAAATGAAATAGATGTGATTTTTGTGAAACAAGATAGTGAAATGTACATTCTGAAAGTAAAAAAAAAAGTCTTTTCTAGGTCAAATCAGTGTCAGTTTGATGGGCCCAAAGGACTTCCTTTTGCCAGGAAAGATGGGCATGTAGCTCTCTCTTCTCTCTCTCTCTCTCTCTCTCTCTATCCCAAACAAATCCCTTGACTTTATTTCATCTTAGACAATTTAAATCACTCATATCTTTTTAACTATAAACTTGTTTTTGAAACTTTTTATATATTTGGACTCTTGGCGTCAAGCCCATTTGAACTAGACCAATTTTGGATACATTTCGAACACATTTGAATTTTTATGTTTCACATTTCATACATGAAAAAAACACATTTCACTGAAAAAATATGAAGCAAACCAATTTCACTAGAAATATGTGAAAACAACTTGTTTCACCGAAACATACTTAACCCAAATATTAAACTGAAATGTCAACTTGTGAAACTAATTATTTGAAAATGTGCAACCTTTTTTTGAAAGAGTGAAATATGTTACTTTAACAATATGCAAATAAAATAGATGTGATTTTTGTGAAACAAGACAGTGAAATGTATATTCTGAAAGTGAAAAAATGTCTTTTCTTGGTCAAATCAGTGTCAGTTTGATGGCCCCAAAGGACTTGCTTTTGCCAGGAAAGATGGGCATGTAGCTCTCTTCTCTCTCTCCATCCCAAACAAATCCCCTGGCTTTATTTCATCTTAGACAATTTAAACCACTCATACCTTTTAAACTATAAACTTGTTTTTGAAACTCTTTATATATTTGGACTCCTAATGTCAAGCCCTTTAGAACTAGACCAATTTTGGATACATTTCAAACACGTTTGAATTTTGACGTTTTACATTTCATACGCGAAAAAAAACATATTTCACTAGAAAAATATGAAACAAACCAATTTCACTAGAAATATGTGAAAACAAACCGTTTCACCGAAACGTACTTAACCCATGAAAATGAAATGCCAACTTGTGAAACTGATTATTTGGAAATGTGTAACAGTTTATTTCAAAAGAGTGAAATTAAAAATGTGCAAATGAAGTATATGTGATTTTTGTGAAACAAGATAGTGAATGTGAAATGTACCTTCTAAAAATGGAAAAAAATGTTAAACTGAAATGTCAACTTGTGAAATTTAAATGTTTGAAATGTGTAACAGTTTATTTAAAAGGAGTGGAATGTGTTTCAATAATGTGAAATTGAAATAGTTGTTACTTTATGTGAAACAAGCCAGTGAAAAGTGAAATGTAGATTCTGAAAGCAAAAAACAATATGAACTGAAATGTCAACTTGGGAAACCAATCATTTCCAAATGTGAAATGGTTTATTTTAAAATAGTGGAATATGTTCTTTCAAAATTGTGCAATTGAAGTAGATATAATTTATCTAAAACAAGCCAGTGAAAAGTGAAATGTAAGTTTTGAATGTGAAAAACAACATAAAACTGAAATAAGAACTTGTGAAACTGATTGAAATCATTTTATTCATAAGATTTCAAGCGGGTGAATATGTGAAATGTGTTTCATGAATTTTTAAAGTCACTTAAAATGTATCCAAAATCGGTCTTGTTTTTAAAGGTATTTGCTACATGAGTTCAAATATATAAAAAGTTTTGAAATCAGAAATTTGGTTTAAGATATATGAATAATTTTAAGTTAGCAAAGGTGAAATAAATGGATGAATTAGTTTGGGAGAGAGAAGAGAGAGAATTGGCAGCACATGCATGTAAGACACTATGTCATTGACCAAAAGCTGACATTGACGGGACCCACGTACTGTATAGCTATGTATTTCTGAAACAGAATGGTTCACTTTTTATACTGTATTGCACTAATCTTCAGACTGCAACGAGCGGCTCCAGATTTACCGGTACATGCCGGAACAGCTCAATTTTCCATTTCGGGAAATCATGCCGTAGCCCTCACTCCACTGCCGACCGTGTCATCCCACGATCCGAGCTAGTGCTAGTCGCCTACAAAGCCGCTGGGAACGCCCAGACCACTTCCTTCAGCTGTGATCTAACGAACCGAGCAAAGAAAACACTAACTGAAAGCAGAACCCAAAAAGGGTTGCCATGACAGCCAAAAACGCTGCCATGACAGCATAATTTCCTGCGATGCGAGCGACGGGGCTTAACGGGGTTTAACAGCAACAATATCTGATACAAGTAACACCTTATATTTTAGGAGTATTTCACACTGTCTCATGTGAGTACATTGGTCGTAATAACATCTTATATTATAGGAGTATTTCACACTGCGATGCCATATGTCTTTTCACACTCCTTCCATTTTACACAACCGGGAGACATTGGAACTATCCATTATCTATGTATCAAGCACATCTATGTATCAAGCACGACTGACTTTAATGTTCCCAACATACAAACAAGCATGTTGTACCTATTTTTTCTTCCTGCCAAACATGTTATAATTTGGCGTTAATCCGATGCAATGCTAACTTAGCCAAGTCCTTCCGCAAGATCTTCCCCGCAGCATTTTTCGGTATGGAATCCACAAGGAAAACACGATGTACTCGCTTATAGTGCACGACCTGTGATACACAACAGCCATTAGGCTCGGCTATGTCTACACATTATATAGAGTGAAGTAGCTATGTCAAATACCTAGTTCCTACCTGTTTAGCGACAAAGTCTTTGATCTGTGCCTCATGCAAGTTGCTTCCGGAGCGTCCTACGACAAATGCCACCGGCAATTCGCCAGCCTGATCGTCGGCGTATCTGTATGATAAACAGTTAACATGTGCTCGTCATGATGGTTCATATGCAGGGAAGAAGTGCAACACATCTATTACTCCCTCCGTTCGGAATTACTTGTCGCAGAAATGGATGTATCTAGATGTATTTTAGTTCTAGATACATCCATTTTCGAGACAAGTAATTCCGAACGGAGGGAGTACATGTTATGGACTTATGGTGCATACTTACCCAACAACTGCGGCTTCGTCGATACCTGGGTGTGTTTGAAGCAGGTCCTCCAGTTCTGTAGGAGCAACCTGCATTAGACAAAGGTAAGAGTCTACATCCATTCCATATCCTGAGGTGGTTATCAGCAATTTTGAAGTAATAGTAGGTACTACCTGGTAGCCCTTGTACTTAATTATCTCTTTCAGCCGGTCAACCACAGAGAGGAATCCATCTTTGTCGATGACACAAACATCCCCGGTTCTCAACCACCCTTCAGAATCCAAAATCCCAGAGGTGGATTCCTTGTCACCAAGGTAGCCTATACTAATGTTTAACAATAGATAGAGTGTCTGTCAGTGAAAAATTTATATCCACTATTATGTGATAGCAACAAAAACCTAGCATCCGACAAATCTGCTGAATGCACCATTGACAAAAAGAAGATGCAGACCTGGCAGAAAGCAATATCCATCAAGACTAGGAACAGATTAGGGTGTGATGTTGACTTGCTAGCTTATCATGTACGTAAAATGCAAATTGTCTTCAATGTCTGCTGTATTTCTTAAATTATATACTACGTATGTACATAGAAAGCATGGCTAGCAATTTTTTGTAGCTCGAATGGTAGTCATCAACAGTTACACCGGTTCAATGCTTGCCGTCCTTGTTTACCTGACATATCATGCATTCACCAAGACAACAAATGAACCACAAAGAAGTTTGTCCCCTAAATAGAGCAATTCACGATGCAAATGCATGTCGGTATATACTGCGGATGCCTTGAGCAACAACTATCAAAACAACATTGCAGCAAAGTAGCATGATTGCTGGTATGAACCAGATGGATTGCTGCCCTAATGCTTTCTACTACTCCGTACATGATAATGGCATAACATGATCGTTATCATTACTGTACCTTGCATTACAAAAGGTCCTCGGACCCAAAGCTCGCCTGGCAGACCCGGAGGCAGAGCATGCCCTGTTGCAGGATCAATAATCTTCGCCTCAGCGCCCGGTGAAAGACGCCCAACTGATCCGATTCGTCGACTTTCTTCTACTCCAGTGGAACGGCAAAAACCAGCTGTAGTCTCGGTCAGTCCATATCCCTTTTGCAAGTGCAAGTTAACTCATGAGTAACCAATACAAAATTGTTAGTATCAAAGATAACCGTAAGGCACAATGGAATCATTGGAACACTACAGGCTTCAATTCTTCTTCTTCTTTTGAGAGTCTTATAAAACAATTTTTCAGAATCTTATGAAACAATGGAATCATTGGAACAATATACAGGCTTCAATTATAATACTCTTATATAAGAAGCAAAAATGCCAACCTGTGAAACAAAGACGTGGGGAAATTTATGCGAGAACCGCCGTACAAGCTCCGGTGAGAGGGATGCGCCGCCGCAGAGCACCACCTGCAGCGTTGCTGCGCTGGCAGCCACACTCTCGTCGTCCTCAGCTGCTCGCACAATCGCCAGCAGCGCCGGCGGCGCAAGGGCTAGCCGCGTCACCCGGAACCTCCCCACCGCTGCCAGCACCCCCCTGGTGTCAAATCTCCCCGCCGTGTGCAACACAAGTGTTTGCGCCGCCATTACAGGCCTGAGGCAGAACACGAATCCGTAGACGTGGAAGAGCGGCACGGTCAGCATCAGAACCTCGCCTGGCGGCGCCGGACCAGGCAAGACGCGTGTCGCCATGAGGTTGCGGTGCGTCAGCACCACCGCTTTGGCGCTCCCGGTGGTGCCGGAGGAGTAGAGTATCGCCGCCGGATCCGATTGGTGCATCACAGCGGCGTCCATGACCAAGGCATCGCCGGGCCCGTGCAAGAACGAGGAGAATCTCGGCGAGTCGAGGAGGACGGCGCTGAGCCCGGGTGGGAGCTTGCCGGCCGCGCTCGAGACGGCGAAGGCGACGGAGGGTTTCGAGAGCGCGGCGAGGTGGGCCAGTTCCCCTGCGGTTAGGGCCGGGTTGGCGGGGGAGACGACGGCGCCGACGGCCATGAGCGCGAAGTAGAGCACGGGGATGTGGAGGCTGGGGGGCGCGAGGACGAAGGCCACGTCGCCGCGGGAGATGTGGAGGTGGGCGCGGAGAGCCGTGGCGAGGGCGCGGACCTGGCCGAGGAAGGCCGGGAAGGGGACGGCCTCGCCGGTGGCGGCATCGAGGAAGGCGGCGTGGGCCGGGAGCGGGGAGGGGAGGAGGGAGAAGGCGAAGGCCGGGAAGGAGAGCGGCGGGGATGGGGGCGGCAGCGGGATGGGCGCGCGGAGGCTGTGGAAGGTCCTCGTGACGGCGCAGTAGCCGCTCAGGGGGTCGACGGCGGCAGGGGACGGCATTATCACTGGCTCGGCAGTTTTTGGGTAGCTGGGTGGCAGCAGTGGGATGGGAGTGGGACACGACAGTGCGTGTGAGCGAGGATCTCCACGCTAACAACGAAACTGCTCTTCTTGATTGACGGAATAGTAAACTAGAGTGCTTTTAAGCCATGGCTTACTCCAGATGCAGGGTGGCTTTGGGATTAAATTTGGTCAGGGCCTCTTTGATTAGTAGGATTTTCAAAATGCAGGAATAGGAAAAACGTGAGATTAAAATGGCATGTCATCTTGAATCCTACAGAATTGTATGAGTGTTTGATTGTGCATAGGAAAAACGTATGATTGTTTTAAAGAGGTTTGAGTAGATGGAAAATTTCCTATGAAATATAGTGCAAATGAGTCCTATGAAAAAATTCATATGGTTTACAATCCTACGAATCAAACAACCCACATAGGAGAAGTTCTTAAGGATTAGAATCCTCCGAAATTCCTTTGAGAATTCTTTGAATCAAAGAAGCCCTTAGTTTGGTTACCTGCAAGCTCAGATGCCCGGTTCTTGAGGAACAGTTGAATAGTCCGTTTCCAGTGAGCCATGTTCGAGTAAGCGCATAGAGGACACGTGTCTACATGCTCCGGGATAAGCGGAAGACAACGTGTTGTTTTCAGAAAGCGCGTTATAAATCCCCTCACTGTCGTGGTTCTAAGTCTGACAGTGATGTAGGGAGTAAGTATGGAGAGGCAAGATCTTAGCTATGGAGAAGTTGTAAGAACGCAAGGTTTACGAGTTCAGGCCCTTCTCGGAGGAAGTAATAGCCCTACGTCTCGGAGCCCGGAGGCGGTCGACTGGATTATGAGAGTATGAATTACAGGGGTGCGAACCCTTTATACTGAGGAAGGGGGTGGCTTATATAGAGTGCGCCAGACCCCTCCGGCCCTCAGTTATGCAGGGTTTTAAGTACATTAAGGTCGGGCGTTACTGGTAACGCCCCTAATAAAGTGCTATGATGACCATAAAAGCTACTTAATGACCGACCGTTAGCGTGCGGAGTGACTTTAGGTCTCCTGGCCGTCGGGTGGTTGGATCTTGGTCGAGTGGTTGCTTCTTGGTCGAGTGTCTTCGAGTCCGTCGAGTGAAACACCGCCAAGTCGATTGAAATGCATTTTCTTTTGGAGGTGTCCTTGGGTAGGTCAGTTTGGACAGGTCCATGCCCCTACCCTAGGTACATAGCTTCATCATTAGCCCCCGAATGGATCGAGGTTTGAGTGGGAAAGGGTTTGAGCACATCTCCGACTCATTTTTCATGTCGTGAGCATACCTTGTTTCGGATCAATGGACCAGAGTGATGTCAACAACTTTCTTTCCAGTCGCCTTGATCCATTCTTACGTTTTGTCGAGTGAGTTATTATACTTGAAGAGTTCTGAGTGACGGTGCGGAGGAGATCTTCGGTCCGACGAGTTGTTCTACTGCCCGCAAATTTTGTGGGATCCAAATTTCGGGAAGTGCGCGGGACGGGAGAGGCCGCAGTAAACGGATGGGATAGCATGGAGCCGCCTCGATCCCCGCGCCACCTTTTTCGCCACGTATCGCGCGCGCGATCGCCACGGGATTTGGCAGGGCCATCCGGGCCTACCAGTCAACCACTCGGAAGCAGCCTCATATAAGGCGTTGGGCCGGGACTCTGTTCCACACGCCACCATTCTCTCTCTGTTTTCTCCCGATTTCTCCGCCACCCTTGCTCCCATCTCGTCACCGGATCTCCGCTCGAGCTCGAACTGCCACCATGGGGAAGGACAAGACGGCGGCGCTGGAACGCGCGAAGAAGGCAACCGCGAAGGCGAAGGGCAAGCGGACCAACCGGGGCGGATCCTCGTCGAGGTCCGGCCTGCCGGCGGGCTGGATCCAGGGTGACTGGATCCGCTCGGCAATCACGCAGGACGACCTCGACGACCTGGTGGAAGGGGGATTTATCCCCCACAAGTCAGCTCGGCTCCCGGGAGACGAAACTGAGCCGCAGCCCAGAGAGGGTGAGTGCGTCCTCTTAGCAACTCACATAGATCATGGGTTCTCGCTGCCTCCCCACCCTTTCTTCCGGGGTTTTTTGAACTTCTTTGGGGCTCAGCTCCACCATTTTACTCCGAATACCATAGTCTATCTGGCCGCTTTCGTGTCTATGTGCGAAAACTTCTTGGGCTCTTGACCGCACTAGGGGCTCTTCAAACATATCTTCACTTGCCGTTCCCAGTCGGTCAAAAAGACCAAGTCGAGTGACGAGAGGACTCGGGTGATCCAGATGTGCGGTCCCCTGGGGATCCAGATGAGGAGCAAAAGTACTTTCCCAGCGATGATCCTTCCTGACTCGGTCCGGGGCTGGCAGTCGACTTGGTTTTACTGCAAGGATCAGCCGACCCCTGGCCAGTCGACTGGGCTTCCTCCTTTCTCCTTGGCTCGAGTGGAGAAGCCTGCTCCCCTGAAGATAGTTCCAGAAGAGAAGGCGCAGGTCAAGGAGCTGGTCGAACGGGTCGTCCAGCTCGTCCGCGACGGAGTGACCGGGATGGATCTGCTGGAGGTCTTTCTCGGTCGACACATCCAACCCCTTCAGGCGCGCGATCAACCGATGTGGATGTATTCTGGGCTCGAAGATACCACTCGGATCCACCCGGAGGAGGTCAGTGAGGATACCTTGGAGAGCTGGTTGAGAGGAATCACTGGCAACAAAGACAACCCTCGGGGATCCAGGAGGGTGACTCCATTTGACAACTCGCGTCAGCCGGAGCAAGTATGTTTCTGTAAGTAACTTTCCGACTCTCCATGTGATGTCCCGTTTGCGTTCGACTGAATGTCTTTTGATTGTTATTTTTTAAGGCCCTCATTGAAATGTACTCGATGCCCAATGGAGAGCAAGGGCAAGACTTGGAAGGCGAGGCGAGCGGCGGCGACAGTGGCGAGTGGACTTCTGATGGTGAAGAGGATGGAGAAAGCGAAGACTCAAGCGACGAAGAAGAAGTCGAGTCGCCTCCTCGCAGGGAGAGGCGATCCAAACTTGCCCAAGAATGACCGGGCGTCAGTGAAAAGGCGACTGCTCAAGCTGGTCAATCTTTGAAGCGTCCTCGGATCTCTTCACCAACCCCGACCGAGAAAGCGCCCAAGCACCCCAAAGTTGCGGAGCCGAAAATCCGGAAGGCATTGCCGAAGATTAAGATTGACATCTCCGTCGCTTCTGCGTAAGTGTCTTCCTCTGTATACACTCGACGCTCAGCGCCGTTTGTTTTTCTTGTTTTAACCGGACGAACTTTGGAACTGCCAGCGCTGCCACTTCTAGGACCTGAGCTTACAGGGATGATGATGAGGTGATGGAGGATGCGGTCACGTCAAAATTGGGTATGACTCCTGCCATACTGTCTTTATTTTGGTCGATTCAACTGTAACGTGTACCATTGGGTGATGTGATTTTGACGATTGAACTTTGCATAGCTCCCAACGTTATTGACCTCCCTGATGATGATGAAGATCCCGAGAGGCCTTTGACGAGGAAAAATAGGCAGGCTCCTACAAGCGAGGCGCCACAGTCGACGCCAAGGACGGAACCAGTCGTTCAGGACACTGCCGACGCCAATCGGGGTTCTGTTACCTTTGCTGTGCCACTGTCGAGTGCCTTGCCCTCTTCGTCGACTGCTCAGGCTCCCGTCGACCCACCTTCAGTTTTTGTGACCCATCATGTCCCGGAGGACGAAGAGAATGCTGCCAAGGAAGCCATACGTCAGGCGGGCATCATGATGGAGAAGATGAGGATGGTGCGGGATGCCAGTCAGGCTACCTACGACGCCAGCTCAGCCCTCCAAAGCAATGTTCAGGTTAATTGGTCACTACTTGTTTTGTTAGGATATGTTATCTGAAGACTCTTTTCCGAAAATCTTTGCATCTGTACACCCACTAGGTGTGTCGATTGAAATTTTTGAACCGGTGGGGGCACGCTGAGTACACCCACTGGGTGTAGTCCCCGAGACTATGGTGGACTGCTGGTAGTCGACTGTAGTCGTTATATTTTTTCAAATGTATAAACCAAACTGGTAGTTTATCTCTTCCACTCGGTCTGGTTGAGTGGGATCAGAACCGGTGGGGGCACGCAAAGTGCACCCACTGGGTGTAGTCCCCGAGACTACGGTGGACTGCTGGAAGTCGACTGTAGTCTGAGTTCTACTTTCTCTCTTTCTGCCCTTTTTTTACTTCCTGGACTTGACTTCGGCGGGTCGGTCGAGTGGGATCAGAACCGGTGGGGGCACGCAAAGTGCACCCACTGGGTGTAGTCCCCGAGACTATGGTGGACTGCGGGCAGTCGACCGTAGTCTTAGTATTTATTGCCTTTGTTGTTTTTCGCTGTAAAATAACTTCTCCTCTTTGATTGCAGAAATCTTGTGATCTGGGAGCTTGCTTTACTGATTTGGAGAAACAGCAGATCCAACTGAACCTTGACTTGGAGCTGGCCAAGACAGAGCTGCAAAAGGCTAAGGATGGTGCCAATGGTAAGACGAGTTTATCGACTGGTTTGCCTTGGGCTTGAGTACCCTTCTGCTCTTTCTGAATCAAGCACCATTTCTTTGCAGAAAAGCTGAGAGAAGCTCTGGCAAAGAAGGACCAGGATCTGGCTGCTGCCCGAAAGGAAGCTGACAACAGAGTCGCTCTGGCCGAACAGAAGCTGGCTTCGGTCGGCCAGTTGGAAGAAGAGAATACCAGGTTGAAGTCTGCTCTGAATGACTCCAACAAGGAGTGCTCGCGCTGGAAGAAGGCGAATCTCGTCCAGGGCGAGAAAATGGAAAGCATTGCTCGCAGGAGGGATGATCTGGAGAGCTATCTGAGAAGTCTTGCCAAGAAGTTGTTCATCAAGCTTGAAGGTGCACATTCTGTTCTGACTGATTTTTTTGTGTCGACTCAGTGTACGAAAATTGACTTATCCTTGGATCGTGAATGCAGAGTTTTGCCAGAACTTTGAAGAGGAGACTGGGCGGATCGAACCAGGTTTGG